AACCAGAACACCATCGTATCTCAGCAGAAGGCACCACAAAGGCCGCAGGGCAGCCGAGGCTGGGGGAGACGCTTGCACATCACCCGGCCAGCAGCAGCAGAGCCAACCTAGGGATGGGCAGAAAACTGAGATATGTAGGTGCTTCTTCAGGAAGACAGGCAGGGGCCCACCGGCACGGGAGACATGCCCACCCTGTCACGGGACTTCCTTTTCCTCCTAACAACCCCACTTGCTGTGAGGAAAACAACAGAAACCACAATGGGACCACCTCGCCCTATGAGCACAGCCGCATCAGCCAGAACAGAGACACAGGAGCTTGTGCTGGGGGGAAAAGGCTGTCCTGAAGCTAACCCCATGCAGGCTGTGTGGACGCCACCCCCACCCCAGGCCAAAGCCAAAGACACTGGGGACTCCAAATCCCGTCACCACCCAAGGGAAGGTGGCTGGGACCTGAGGGTGGGGTTCAGCAGCCAGGTGTGGTATAAAACTGTTATGGAGAAGCCCCGATATAAAACGGGGTGCCTGGCTGTGGGTCCTCACCCGCACACTTAAAAAGGGACTTATGAATACTTCACTACAGGCGCACACAAAAGGTTCATAAAAGGTTTATTTGCAGGGGAAAAGGAATTGAGGAAATGTACAACTCAGACACGTGGGCTTTGGGGGGTTCCCCCTTTTTGGGCCCCGCCAGCTCGCAGCGCCGGCCAGCTCGGAGAGTGCCTTGGGGTTTCCAGGTCGGCGGATCGGGTAGGACGCATGAAAGACTTTATTTCCCTATTTTCTCCCTGAGTTGTACATTTCCTCAATTCCTTTTCCCCTGTAAATAAACCTTTTATGAACCTTCTGTGTGTGTCCTGCAGTGGAGTGTTCATGAGTCCCTTGTAAGCGCGCGGGGGAGACCCACAGCCAGGCACCCGTTTTATATCGGGGCTGCTCCGTAGCAGTTGGAGCTGTGGAGCAAGGGGCCTCAGCGCCGCTGGGCGACTCTTGCAGCCTCTGGGAAAAGAGCAGGGAGAGTCCTGGAAAAACAGGAGTGGACATCCCAGGAGATCTGCCTCACCTGCTGGGCACTGGGGGCCTCTGAGCCCTGAGCAAGCAGATCCGTGCCCACCTGTCCCACACGCCGCCCGCAACGACCAAGGGACGGCCGAGCCTCGGCGCCGCCAGCAGGCGCCTGGACAGAGGGGTGGGGACTGGACACTCAGGCCCCCGGCTCGCCTTTCAAAAGCCCAACCAGCGCGTTGGGGAATCCGCAGAGGCGCCAAGATGATGCCTTAAGCGAAATGAGGCAGGACGCGAGAGCCACCAGGAGTTTGCCGTTGTTTGTGGCATATAAACCACCCCAGAAAAGAAACCAGCAAAACCCAACAAAAATAATTCCAGACGCCGAAAAGACCGGTGACCAGGGGGCTGGGGCCCGCGTCCTGGTACGGAGCAAGGCTGCAAGGCTGTCCCCTGAAAGGGCCATGCCGGAGGCCGGAGTGCAGAACCCACCAGGCAGCCCACCTGGGAACAGGATGCGGACGCCTAGAGGACTCGGACGATGAGCCTCCCCCTCCCTCCAAATCCTTTCTCAGACAAAGAAAATCCCGTCCCCCCACCCAACAAACTTTTTCCCACCGGCCGAGCCCAGTCTCCCACCTGACCTCTCCTCGCCCTAGAAAACCCTGCGTCCCCCTGACGTGCGCGGCTTCACGGACGCCCCCCTTGGGTCCGTGAGGTCCGCCCTGGGCGCAATAAATTTTCCCTTCCTTAGAGAAATGTAGCCTGGCTCTCCTGTTCTTTACCGCGCCGAACCTCTCATCCCCCAAATTATATCGTCACTCAAATGATTGGCCAACATTAAAATTCGAACTTAAAATTCTGCTCTGCAAAGGAACAGCTAAAAGACCGCAAAGGCCTGCAGACCCGAGACACGCAGGCACACGCCTGGGCAGGTGTTCCTACGATAGGACGATTAAGACTCCACAACAGGAAACAAACAACCCTCTTTTTTTAAAAAAGATGTATTTATTCATGCATACAAGAACCGGGGGACAGGCCAGATGCACGGGAGGGTGAGCGGATTCACCAGACAGACAGCGGGGAGCAGAACAGGCAGACTGACGAAGCCCACTGCTGAGGGGGCAGCGGGGAGACAGGAGAGGTCTGTGCGCCATGTGGGACCCTCGCCGGCCGGCCGGGATCGAACCGATGCTGCAGAGGCTGCGGACAGCTTCACAGCGCTGCGCTCAACCCGTCCGTGCCACCAGGGGAGGCCCATAAACAACCCCCTTTAGAGATGGGTGACAGCTGAACAGACACCCACCAGAGGTCTCCAGACGGAAGGACGTTTTGGAAAAGACATGGTGCAGGACGGGGTTAGAGAAAGGGGCGGGTGCCCATGAGGATGGCCAGAGCCCCAGCCTGCAGGGAGTTAAGCGGCAGGAGCAGTGCAGGGGGGGCCAGGGGACTTCCCGACATGGCGCCACCCTGCCTTCCAGGCTCTGTCCCCCCTCTGCACCCTCTTCCAGGAGACTAGGTCGCCCTGGCCGCTGCAGGGACCCCGGGCCTCTTGCTGGCTTAGGTTAGGGTTAGGGTAGGCTCAGTCTCCCGGCTCCACCAGGCCCCGCGACCCCGCACCCAGGAGGTGGGAAGGGGCAGGGGGCACGGGGCTGGTGGGGTCCACGTCGGCACCAGCGCTGCAAAGCCCGTGGACACAGCCACACCCGCCAACAGCCGCTGTCTCTGGACTCACCCAGACGAGGTGGAAACTCACGTCCACACAAACCCTGCACAGATGGTCCGAGCAGCCTGCCCACAACAGCCACGTCCAGAGGTCGCCAAGATGGCCTTCGGGGCAGTGGACAAACGGTAGCTGCCGGCGCTGGGGTATTACTCGGTCACAAAGGGGGAAGACGCCTGCGGTGACTCCGCAGCCCACACCCACGCTGCGTTCTGGGAAAGGCAAAGCGACACAGTGAGAAAGATCAGAAGTTGCCAAAGATTCAAGGAGGAGGAGGAGGGCGGTCAGGTGAGCCGTCCCGCTGGACCACGTGGCCCTGGGCGCACCCAGACCCGCCAAGGCCGAGACCTGGGGCACAGGGAGCCAGAACCCCTGCGTTAGGTCGCCGGAGCCCCAACACACGCGGGCCGGACCAGGGAACGGGGCGGCCCCGCTGCCCCACCTGCTCGTCTTTTCCTGAACTTAAAACTGCTCTGAACATAGAGTCTATTCACTTAGAGTCACTGTTAAAGTTTTAGCGGGCGGGGGAGGGAGAGCGCAGCGGGGCACGCTGACTCCACTTCCTCCCCTGACTGCGGGGCCAGGCACCCCAAGGCCACACTGGGGGGTGCAGAGGCCGTGTGCAAGCCGAGGCGCAGCTGCGCAGGGTCCCAGCCAGGCCCGCGAGGACCTGCACTGCGGCTTCTCCAGATGAAAGCGGGGCTGTGCTGGCCAATCGTCCCTCCCTTTCTCCATCTGCCCACTGGGCCCAAAGCCCCAAAGGAAGGTCAATGCACACGTGGTCGCAGCGTCGCGTGTCCTCACATGCTGCGGAGGGGGCGCCCGCCTTCCAGCCAGACCCCCGGGCTCCCCACTCTCCTCCCGGAGCACCAGGCTCCGCCAGCCCCTGCCTCTGGGGCCAGCGCCAGGCCAGCTCTCCCGGGACCCCCAAGGCAGCCCCACCCTAGAGCCACCTGGGCTCCGCCCTGCCCAGGAGGAGGCGGACACGTGTCCGTCCCCAGTCACCGCTGCGGCCGGCCGTGGCCGCTCAGCTCCGGGAAAGGGGTCCCCGAGCAGCCCCTGCACTCACGGCCAGGCGCCCCAGCCAGCACCGGGAGGGGCCCGGGGCGTCCAGACCCAGGGGCGGGGCAGGCGGCGCGGGGAGGGGACAGGCGGGCGGGGTCCCTGCAGCGGCCGGGGGACCTAGTCTCCTGGAAGGGGGTGCAGAGGGGCACAGACCCTGGAAGGCAGGGCGGCGCCATGTCGGGAAGTCCCGCAGTGGCCAGCCTCGGGGACCTGGGGGGTGGGGGGTGGGGGGTGGGCGGATGGGCCAGAAAGGGGCCAGTGTGGGGCTGTCCCCCCAAACCAGCCCCACCTGGCGCGGGCACCTGCGTCCCCTGCGTGCCGAGGGCGCGGCCCCGCGGAGCCCAGCGCCTGGGGCGGCCCCGGGGGTCGCCGCGTCCCCTGCGGACGAGGATGGGGGCGGGGTGGGGGCCCTGGAGAGCGGGCGGGCGTCCGGCACCCCCGGGTGGGGCGGCGGGCGGTGGAGACGGGCCCGCGCCGGAGAGCAGGGCGGGGAGGGCGGGCGCGGCGGCGGGAAGGGTGGGGCGCCGCGCGGAGGGGCGCGGGGGGGGGCTGCCTCCATCTCCTCCCTCCCGGCTCGGGAAGAGCCTCCGCGTCTGCCCGCCCCCACCCCGGCGGCGGCCCCTGCGAACGCGCCCGGCTCGCCGAGGTCCCCGCGCCCCGCGCCCCGCTCCGCGGCCCGCGCCGGACCCAGCGCGGCGGGTAAGGCCAGAGCGAGCGCGGCGCGGGCGGCTCCGAGGGAGGGAGGAGGGTCGGAGGGTCGGGCCGCTCGGCAGCGCGCTGGGCCTGCGGTCCGGCGCGGGGGGCGCGCGGGGCGCGCGGGGCGCGCGGCGGGCGGGGGGGCGCGGGGCGCGGGGGCGGCGCTGGCGCGGGTCACCAGGCGCCCCCGGGGGTCCGAGGCTGCCGGGCAGAGGCTCGCGCCGGCTCTGCCCCCGCCCCCAGCCCTGGCGGCCGGGGGGTCCCTCGGGGCGGGGGTCCCTCCCCCGCGCCCCTCACCATCCCCTCCGCGCGCCGGGCGGCCCAGGCGCTGCGCCCCGCCCCGCGCCGGCCTTTCCCGGCCCCGCGCCCCGCCCGCAGGCGCTGCGGCAGCTCCGGGCCGCGCCGCCCGGGCCTCCAGGGGCCGCGCCCCACGGAGCCCCCCGCGCCCGGCCCGGCCCGGCCCGGCCCGGCCCACCGAAGCCCGCCCCTCCCTCCCGCAGGTGGCGCCCGGAGGATGAACTGGACGGCCGCGGCCTGCTGGCTGCTGCTGCTGCTGGCGGCCGCGCTCCTCGGCGACGGCGCCCTGGCCAAGGGCGGGCGCGGGGGCGCGCGGGGCGGCGCGCGGGGGGCGCTGCGCGGGGGGGCGCGCGGGGCCTCGCGGGGGCGCGTGCGGCCGGCGCCCCGCTACGGGGGCTCGTCTCTGCGCGTGGCCGCGGCGGGGGCGGCCGCGGGGGCGGCCGCGGGCCTGGCCGCCGGCTCCAGCTGGGGCCGCGCCCTGGAGGACGACGAGGACGCGGCGCCCGGCGGCAACGGCACCGGCCGCGGCGTCTACGGCTACCGGGCGTGGACCTCGGGCGGCGGGTCCACGGGCGCCCCGGGCCTCGGCCTGCTGCTGGGCGGCGCGCTCGGCGCCCGCGCGCTGCTGCGGCCCTAGCCGGGCCGGGTCCGAGCCCCGGAGCCCGGCCGGGGGCCGCCCGGCGCCCCCCACAAGCCTCAGCGTCCAAACCCCGGGGCTCCGCGGGCGGCGCCATGGCGGGCCAGCGAGCCGCAGCCCCTGTCCAGCCCCAGCCGGCCCGCGCCTGCCCGCCACCCCGCTGTCCGAGGAAGCCCGCCCCCCGCGTGGCCCTGTCCCCTTGCCGGCCGCCCTCCCCTTCCCAGAGCCACCCAGTGGGGGTGCCAAGACCCAGCTGCTCAGGCAGCTGCCACTCCCCTGACCCCACCCTGGACACTGGAGGCTGTGGGCGGTGCTGACCCCCCAGCAGAGACCAGCCTGCGGACCTCGGGGCCTTCCCCCCAGAACCCGCCAAAACGGACCAAAAAGAATTGGGGGAGGGCGAGGCTGAGCCCAGTGGAAGCTGCGTGGCGTCACCGCCGGTCCAGGAAAAGCCTCCCAACGCCGACGCCGCGGCCCACAGGGCTGCCGGGCCCTGCCCGCCCACGAGGAAGAGGCCGCCGCGGGAGTCGCTTTGCCCCAACTTGGAACAGATCCTCCGGCTCTCTGGAAACGTGCTGGGGGAGGAGCGCGCACAGGGCAACCGCCGTCCAGAGCGACGCGCCCGGGCACTCGCGCTCACCTTCCGGGCCCAGGGTCCCGGCCTGTCCTGGCAGCCAGCACCGGCCACGCAGGTCCCCAGACCGGGCAGACACCTGCACGCAGCAGCACCTCCCGCCGCAGCCCCCGAGGGCCGGGAGCAGAAGCCAGACACCGGCCATCCCAGAGGCAGGCCGCGGGGTTCACGCCCTGGCCGAAGGCTGGGTTCCCCCTCACCCCCGACCCCAGCGAGGGAGGCCACATCTGTGCATTCCCTGCTCACCGCAAGGAAAGGGTGGGTGCGGCGGCTGCCTGCCGGGAGCAGCAGCCAGCAGGGCCGCGGGGAGCGAGCGCTCTGGCACCACCCACATGGCCGTCCCCACGCGGCCAGCCTGGCCCAGCAGCTGGGGCCTCCTCCACTGGCGCCCACTCCCGGCAGGGCCGCTTCTGGGCCTGCCTCCTCCGGATCCCGCCCTTGTCTGGTGCTGGGTGCTAGGCGACCGCTAAGAGCCTGCCCTTGCTCCCTGGACAACTGACCAGCAACTGCCGAGGTGCCACGTCACCTCTACTCCCCCACAGCTGGCCCAGTTCCATGCTCAGGTGAGGGTCCCCAGGCGGTCAGTGGGACCCCGGGCCTAGCATTTTTCTACAAGGACCCAGGCGCTAAGCTGTGGGACACAGCTCCCGCAGCACCCCGCGTCCTCACTGCCAGCATTCTCGGGGTACAGCAGCCCGGATGCGCCTCAGTCCATTCCAGACCAGGTTCAGACTGCCAAAGACAGCAGGAGGCCCGGCCCTCAGGGCAAAGGGCAGGGCAGCGCGCTGGAGTCTGACATCACAGGCAGGCAGGCCAGGCAGCTCCTGGGGTGAGGGGCCCCCAGGGCAAGCCAGGCCTGGCTGCACTCAGCCCAGACCCCACACCGAGAACAGCACGTGGGGCCCCCCAGCTGGCTCCCTAAGTGTGTGGGAGCCTCCAGAAGCCCTGAATAGGAGCCCCCACACTGGTCAGGGTACACAGCCCCAAATACCAGCATCCCCACCCCCACTGGCCAGTCTCAGCAGGAGCAGCCTCAGGCTGCGGAGCTCAGGCACTGAGGGTGTGGGAGGCAGCAGACAGCACAGACCCAGGGGTGCCAGCGGGACAGGCCCAGCCCCTCCCCTGCGCCCTTGGCCAGGAGGCAGCACTGGAGCCTCTGGGAAGAGCCTGTCCTGTCAGCTGGCAGGAGCGAGGCAGCGCTCCCAGGACACGGGGTGGGGCCCCAGGACACCGGGCAGGATCCCTGGTCCCGGGGCTCTTGCAACCTGTCTGTGCGCACCTTCGTGGCATTGTGAATAAACACCCCACTGGTCATGGTGCTTCCTTGTCGGGGGCCCTGGACTTGCGGCGAGGATCTGACACAGGAGCCCCCGTGCCACCTTGCAAGAGGTGCCCGCGTGACACACAGAGGCCGAGGACAGAGGGTGAACGTCACTGAAATGCTCTAATCACAGGCCATGGCCCTCCCGAGCCACGTGGGCAGCCCTGCACCCGCAGGACCGTCCCCAGCAGCCGGGGCGCCCCTTCGTGGCCCAAGCAGGAGGCCCGGGAGCAGCAGTGAGGCGGCTGGGAGGGGCCCGCATCGCAGGCCCCCCGTGAAGGACGGGGACGCCGGGCGGGCCAGGCTCTCAGGGCTCAGCTCTGCAGCGTGTCCCTGTCCAGCATCACGGGGCCCAGCAGGCCCAGGCGGAAGGTCCGCAGGAAGTCCCGGGCAGCCGCGAGGTAGTTGGGCTGGGTGACGTTCACATCGCCTGGGGGACAAGCAGGAGGTGCTGGGGACGGCACCCATGGGGGGGCCTCGCCCGGCCTGGCCTGTAGCACCTGTGAGGCTCAGTGGCAGAGGCCGTATGGGCCCCCGCAGGTACAGGGCTGCCCCCTCACCCTCCATGGCTAATCCCACTGCCCAGGGGCGAGCCGGTGCCTCACCTGTGCCCGTGAGTACCTTCACCTTCCGCGTCTTCCCCAGTCTCACGGCCACCCGCTCCAGCAGGCGCGCAACGTCGTCGCAGGCCCCGCTCAGCCCATAGTGCTGCACGTACCTGTGGACAGCCAGGCAGCTGGTCAGGCCCCCACAACGGCCCTGGAGGTGTGGGGACTCAGGCGCGGCCTGCCCCGGCCTCCCGCATGATGTGGCCAGCTGCCCAGGGTGGCACCCCCAAGCCCCGAGCAAAGCAGTGGTCAGTGGTGGGCGCTGTGTCCAGCCCCTCCCCAGGGGCCCGTGGCCTGGGCCCAGTCGGCACGCAGACCACAGTACACGCCTTGCTGCTGAGGGCACACTTGGCCTGTGGGGCAGCCAACGAGGGTCCAGGGTCATGGCTCTCTCCGGTTGGCTGGACACCTGACAGCGTGGCCCAAGGCCCAAGGGTCAGCATGCAGCCACCGCAGGCAGGAATAGCCCAGGCTCTCACGGACCCACAGGGGGCGAGCCGGTACTCAGCAGGGACCCCTGAGGCTGAGCAGCAGCAGCACAACCAGCCCCAGACAAGCAGCTCTGGATGCCAGGAAACTAGAGACCAGCGGGACCAGCACCTGGAGGCCGGGCTCCCGCAGGCAGAGGCCAACGGTGGGCAGGGCTGCAGCAGACAGGTGGCTCATAGGGCTGGCTACCACACAGAGACGGATGCCCTCTGCCCCCATGGCCGCTCCCCAGAGGCAGGGCAGAGCGCCTAAGCCCAGCACACTGGGCCACGTCCTGGGGCAAGAAGTAGAGTGCGACATGTGCCCTGCAAAGCAGGGGATGGCGCTGGGCAGCGCCCGCCCGAGGCAGCATGAGCAGGAAAGGACCAGGACACACAACAACGCTGCCCAAGGCCCCACGGCCAGCCCTGCAGGCCACACCGCAGGCCAGGGGTGGCAGGCGAGCAAATCCAGGCGGAGAGCGGACGGGGAGCCCAAGGGCTCAGCACAGCGCGGGCGGCACAGGGGCAGCAGGCCAGGGAGCCAGGCCCAGGGGCACCCTCACGCTGGCTTCCAGTGACTGTCCCGAGACAGCACACAGGGCCTGAAGAATTACTGGGGCAGCCTGGCCAAAACCTCAGGGCCAGGGGCACGGCACAGCAAGGACATCCAGGGACCACCGCCCACTCACCCGAAGAGCTGGTGTCTGTTGAGGGTGTAGAGCAGGTAGTCGGCCAGGGTCTCCTCCCCCACCAGGTGATCCAGCACGGTCCCTGGCACACGGGCAGCCAAGGGTGAGCCCCACAAACCACCTCCATCTGCCTCCCACAGGGCTGAGTCCCAGTCAACGCGTCCCTGACCTGCCCACGCCTCAAGGATGGCCGTGCGGGTTTGTGGTATCGCAGCAAAGCCTGGCGCCCTAGTTGTGAACTGTGCCCGCACCGCCTCTCAGGACCGCACTGTCAGTGGCGCCCACACAGCCTCTCTCGGCACAGCTGACAATGTGTCAGCAACCCGGGAAGACAGGCGCATCCCCACCAGTCTGGGCCCGGCTCACCACAGAGGGCCAGTTTCAGGCCTGTCTCCACACTTTCGATCCGAGGAGCCAGCACCCCGGGAGTGTCCAGCAGGAACATCGGTGGCCGCTCACACACCTGTGGGCAGGGGGCCAGCTGCTCAGGAAGCCCAAAGCCCTCCTCCCAGGCATTCTGCTCATGGCCCCCGAGCCGGTGTCTGGTTCCCAGGCCCTGGGGAGGCCCTGAACTGCCCACGGGTGCCATTTCCGCCAAGCCCTCGGCTTTCCGTGGGGTCAGGGTCCCACCTGATGTGGAGCATGAGGAGCAGCGACAGGCCCGCCAGCTCCCGGCATCGCCCCAGGGAGAAGAGGGGCGTCAAAGACACCAAAATGGCAGCTGGAGACCCCGCCCCACAGAGGCCGGGCCACGCCCCCTCCCACACCCGCCTGCCCTTCCGTAAAGCAGGGGGACGCAAGCCCTCTGCGGACGTGGTGTGGGCTGACCTGGCGCGGGTCACCTGCCAGAGGAGGTGGGGCAGGCACAGTCGGGCCGGCCCACCTCACTGGCCCAGGACAAGCCGGCGTCTGCAAGGGCAGAGCCGGGGCCAGCAACCAAGACCCCTACCTGAATCCTGGACATGACAGCTCTGGTGATCCCAGGCTCGCCACCAACTCTGGTGGCCTTCCCTGTGGGACAAAGAGGCCATCACATGCACGCTGAATGCAGGAGCCAGGCTGCCCGCCAACTCCACGCTGGACGCAGAGACACTTGAGCAGCCCCACCTTCAAGCGTCCAGCCCAAACCTGCCCCTGAGCCCAGCCCCACCCAGGCAGCCTCTCTGGACAGAGCTTCTGGGCCACATGCTGCCTGTATCCTGCTCAGTGTCCTTGGCAGGCCCGCACCCCCTGCCAAGTCCACTCGAGAAAAGGACACTGGTGTCCGTGCCTCTCGGCCCGCGTCTAACCACACGCTGTGGGCACCCAAGGTCAGGCGTCCAGGCGCTGGTCAGACATTCGCTCTCAGAGAGTAAACAGGCGGGTGCAGAGGGCGGCGCCAGGCATGCCCCGGGCGGGCAGCAGCAGTCCGGCAACCTCAGGACAGCAACAGGCCCAGACACCCCCCGCCCTGGTACCTTTCCTGAGGTGCTGCCTCCTGAGGGAGTTGATGAGCGAGGACTTGCCCACGTTGGGAACCCCGATCACCATGATGCAGTGTTCCAGATGCTGCGGCAGAACAGGCAGTGCAGTTGCCATCCAGGCCGGCCCCCCCAAACCCGCCCCCTCAGCCATCCCCAAGCCACCCAGGCCCCCACCCACCCGCCCCCAGCCATCCCCCTCACCAAGGCCCCTGCTGGGCCCAGGCCTCAGGACCCACTAGCCCTGGCCAGCTCAGGGGAGAAGGCAGGTCCCCACAGAGGCCCCCTCCTCCTTGGGAGGGGAGAGGCTCGCCGGCCACGGGGACTGTCCCACGCCGGCACGGGCGGCTAACCCACCTCTGCCCGGTGATAGCGGCAGCTGCTGGCAACGAGCTCCGTGACCAGGGGGACAATCTGCAACAGACCCCGAGGCCCTAAGACACACAGAACCCCCTTCACGCCCTGGGCTCAGACACGCCCTGCACCTCCACCCTCCACCCCGACCAGGCAGGCAGGACCCACCAGGGCCCTCTGACAGGAGCCAGCACGGACCACAGCACGAGTTGGCCAGGGAGACCAGCAAGCAGTGAGCTGCTGGCTTCGGGGCCACGTGCCCAGCCTGGCTCCTGCTCTCTCAAGTCCGATCCCCCGACTCGGGGCCCGGGGGAAGTGTAGCCAAGTGGACCACATCAGCGAGGCCGGAGCCCCGGGCCATGGGGAAACCACTTCTTCTGACAGCGCAGGACAACGAACCCGCACTCCCTGAGAGCTGGGCGGACGGGTGGGCCGGAAGCCCTGGCGCTGGGGCCAGCTCACCTGCCTGATGTTCTTGTCCTTCACGCAGTCGGTAAAAACAACGTTCCTCAGACCTTCTGCTTCTAAGCGCCTTGTGATTTCCTGAAAGAAACAAGACTTTAGTGAGCAGGTGAAAATGGGGCCAGGACGGTGCTCGCCGGCTCGGCCTCCAGCTGCAGGCGCAGGGGCCGTGGGCAGCAGGGTGACAGCACAGGGGCCCAGAGTGCAGGTGGAAGGCCAGGCCTGGCCTTGCCCAGCGCTGGATGGCGCTGCTGGGTCCCACCGAGGCCACCACATCTCCCTGCGGCAGGCCAGCCGCTGCCCGAAACGAGGCCTGACCGGACAGTGCCAGGCCTGCCAAGCAAGCAACAGCTACTGAGCTCACGTACGGGTAGGACAACCCCGCGCTGCCCCAGGCACTCCCCAACAGGCAGGCGGAGCCCGGGTGGTGCAAGGACCGCCAACACACAGCCATGCGTGGCAGCGGATACGGGGTCACCCGGGGCCACTCCTCTCCTGTTCTCCCCAAAAACTCGCAAAGACGGCAGCCGAGAAGCTGCCTCCGGACGGGAGGTCCTGCCACGCCCCCGCCAACAAGGGCCCCTCCAGCCACCTCGCAGCCCCAGCACGCCAGGGCAGAGCTGACAGGACAGGGCCAACGAGACTGCAGCACGGGTGGCCATGCTCATGCGGCGCTTGGGACCTGCCTTTCCCTGGGAACCCCGCAGTGGGACGGCTGTCGGCCAACTGAGGACTCAAACACCAGGCACCGAGTAGCAGACAACCGCACCCAAACACTGTGAAGCCCAGAGGGGCCGAGTCCACTCGACACCTGCCCTGCAGAGCTCCAGCCTGGGCGGGGGCGGGGCCAGCCCGGCACCCCTGTGCACACACAGAACCTGTCTCTTTCCTTGGGCACACAGGACACGGCCGTCGATGGTATCCTCCAATCTCCATCAGCGTGGCCCTGCCCCCCAGCTTCCAGGTCACAGAGGTAGCCACCACAGGGGAGGGCAGGCCGTGGAACCCAGTCAGTGTGGACACCAGGGGCAACTCCCCATAGGAGCCTCCAGCCCCGGGCAGCCCCCGGAACACAAACTGAGCAAAGCGAGCTTGAACGTGAACGCTGCTTCCTCAGGCAGAAGCCACGTTCAGGGTGCACGGCCACCTGGCCTCAGCTCTGCAGCATAGCCCGGCCGCCCCGGGGACCCTGGCATCACTGGGGTCACAAACTAAGCCAGGGGCAAGTCATGAGAGGGTGGCTGGTGGCAGGTGGCTGGGGGCACAGCCAGGCTGAAGGCCCACAAAGGCCCACCTGCTGCCCCCGCAGGTCCGCCAGGTCCATCTTGTTGAGGACGAGCACATGAGGCTTGAGCCCAAGGGTCTCCCGAAACAGAGGGTTGCGGCCAGAGAGCGGGATGTGGCAGAGTTAAGGGCAAGTCCTTCCGTGATTGCTTCACCCCGTACCTGGGGATGGCCTGGCAGCACCCCCAGCAGGGACAGCGTGGGGCGGCCGCTGGCTGGGGAGGCACAATCCTGCCCACTGCCTGGTGGTGGCCGCTGCACGCGGACAGGAGGTGGGCGGGTTTTCTCCTCAAACCCAGGCTCAGGAGGTGGCTCTGTATCAGGCGTTTAGGCCAAGGCGCAAAGATCACAGCGGAAGCGTCTGCTTCACACACCCTCTGCTGGCAGCCAAGGAGACGAGAGCAGGGCCGGTGGCGCTCAGACCCAGCTGTGCCTATGCCCCCCAACAGCAGCAGAGGGGGGTGCCAAGCCCCTCCTGGAGCTCCGACCCCCCCCCCCCCCCCCCGCCCCGCAGCAAGCTAAACTGTGAACCTCCCAGACTAGGCAGGAGGGCGGAAAGGCAGCTGTGTCCCACCCACACAACAGGGGGCCTCCCAGAAATCACAATCCTGGGTCACCTCAGAACACCAGGCGCCTCCAGACACCCCCGGTCACTCTCCAGTGCAGGCCCCAGCTGTGCCTACGTGCTCCCGCACAACGCCCGCAGGCCTCCAGGAGAGCCCATCCAATGAAGTTTTCACCCCACCTAGAGAACCTGCCTGGATGGGCTGAGGCCGGGCGCCAGGGGGCATCTGAAGCGAATGCTGCCTTCCTATCAGCAGGGAGCTCCTGGACCCTGGGCCTGGGCTTGGCACCAGAAACTGACTCACTGAGTTGGAGGAGTCCAGAGGGCATGTCTTAAATGCCTTCCAGGAAACTCAGTGCAACGAAGGTTGAGGACTTCAAAGGCCAAGAATTGGACAGGTCAGGCTGCTGAAACTGTGTGGTGGTGGACAAACCCAACAGAGGGGTGAACAGATACAGGACTGGACCAGGAGTCCTAGACACAGATGGGGCAGGGCTTGTAAGTTCCATCTCTCCAACTTCTGGTTGGCACCACCCAAGGCACCTCGTCCAGGATACCCTGATAGTCCTGCTGACAAGAAATTCCAAGAATTTCAGAAGTTCTGTGCCAGAAGTGGGATGAAAACCAAACGCCTATTTATCACAAGCCACGGCATCAGTCACCAAAGGATATCCGGGCATCGTGAACCTCGATGAGACAGTCCACCAGCCGCAGGCTGCTCTGCATCTTCCTCAGTCCTGGAAAACAGGGGAGCGTGGTGGGAAGGGCCAAGGCCCCTCCAGAGACACCCCAGCATCCCTCCGTTTGTGGGAGCGAGAGGTCAGCGGGGTGGTGGTCAGAGGTCAGACCCCTGGGCCTCTGAATAACTCTGGGCTAGTCCTATGACACCAGACCTGCAGCCCTGGGCAGGCCTTTAACCCCCGTGGGCCTCGTCTCCGCTGTAAAGTGACACCAGCGCGTCTACTCGCCCCTCAACACTGATCGGAGATGATAACGCCCCAGTGCCAGCCTCGGCCCCCAGCCGGCTCTGAACTGGCCGCCCCGCAGCAGGCACAGCACCGGGCTCGGTCACGGCCCCGCCCGCGGCGCCCCCACCCCGCTGGGTGCTCCAGCGCTCGCCACCTGGTCCCCGTCCTGTCCTGGGCTGACCACTGGAACAGGGCTCCAGGGAGGGGGATTCGCTGTCTGAGGGGGGGGCGCCGCGGGGGGCGGGGTGGGGCACTCGCTGGCTGGGAGGGGTGGAGCCGCGGGGGGGAGGCGCGCGGGGGGGGGGGGGGGGGGGCGCGGGGGGGGGGGGGGAGGCGCGCGGGGGGGGGGGGGAGGGGGGGGGGGTCGGGACTGGCCTTGGGGGGTCGCCGGGGGAGGGGGGACTCGCTGGCGAGGTGGGGGGGGGGGGGCCGGGGGGGTCGGGACTCGCCTTCGGGGGGGGGCGCCACAGGGGGGCACTCGCTGGGGGGGGGGGGGGGGGGGGGGCGGGACTGGCCGTCGGAGGGGTGGGGCCGGGCGGGGGCGGGACTCGCCGTCGGGGCCGGCCGCCGGGAGGCGCACGGGCGCGGCCGGGCCAGAGCGCGCGGCGGGGGGCGGCGCCGGCTCCAGCGCGGGCCGGGCGGGCTGCGGCCCGGCGGGCGCGGCGGCCGAGACGGGCTCCCCGCCCCCGCCCGGGCCCGAGGCACGCCCGCCGCCCGCCGGGCCTCACCCTTGGCCATGTGGCCGGGGAACCAGCGCGCCACGTCGCGGCCGCCCAGGGGGAAGCTCTCGCGCCAGCCGCCCCGGGCGGCCCCGCTCAGCGCGCGCAGGCCCAGCCTCATGGCGCCGCGTCCGCGAAGGGGGCGGGCCGTCCCCTCAACGGACCCTTCCGCCGAGCGCGCGACCCGCGCGAGGGTTCCGGCGCCCAAGGTTCCGTGGCGCGGGCCGCGCGTGCGCACGAGGGGCCTCGGCGCCGGCCGCCCTGCGGGCGGGGCGGGGCCTCGAGCTCGAGGCCGGAAGTTCTGGGGTCCTGACTCTGGGGCTTCTCGGCGCTTCCCGGACCCGGTAACATTCGTTAAATTAAAAACTCCCCGTTCCAGGGTGTAGAGAAATGTAACCACATCCAGTCTCCTGTCAATGTTCGGTGCCTTTTCACAAGCCTGGCTAAAATTTTTCAAAAAGTTTTTAAAGATTTATTTATGCAAACGAGAGCCGGGGTGCAGCGGGGGGGGGGGGGGAACTCCCCAGAGACAGAGCGGGGAGCAGAGCCGGCGGACCACTGGACTCTGCTGGGGGCGGCGGGAGCCCGGAGAGCCTGCCGCGCCTGGGGCAGCTCCCGGCCGGGGACCGAACTCGCGCTGCAGAGGCTGCGGCTGCTTCACAGCGCTGCGTCTGAACCCCTTGCGCCACGAACCAGCCCCCCTAAAAAAATTTTTTTTTAATTTAGCTTATTGATGTATTGCTTTTCTTTTTCAACTACTCCAGGTTTTAATGTAACAAGCGTTTCCCAGGACCCCGCCGGTGGTGCGGGGACTAAGACACAGCCCTGTGCGGAGCTACTGGCAGCCACTGCGGCCTGAGTTGGATCCCCGGCCAGGAGCTACCCACACAGCACAGCAGACCCCTCCTGTCTCCCCACTGCTCCCCTCAGCAGTGGGTTTCAGTGGATCTGCCTGTTCTGCTCCCCACTCTGTCTCTGGTGGATTCTCTCACCCCCTGCACCTCTGGCCTGCGCCCCAGCTCTTGCATGCACAAATAAATCTTAAAAAAAAAAAAAAAAAAAAAAAAAAAACGCTTCCCAAAAAGTGACAGTCCTACTAAGCAAAACTTATTAACACAAGGCTCTTCACTCCCCAGTGCACCCCACAAGGCGCACTTAGGTTCTCAGCACAAAACTACCACCACCCACCACCGTGGCCCTGATGGCCCCAACAGCCCCAACAGTGTCAAACACACCAGCACAGCTCTGAAGGGCCCAGGGCTGCCCACGGGGGCACCAAGGCTGCAGGGCCACCAAACCTGGGGCATAGCCCAACAGGCCCTGCCCGCCTCCAAGCCCCAGGGGGCCAGAGCCCCCAGCTGGAGCAGGATAGCCTGCAGCCCCAGGAGTGAGGGACAGGAGCCACACACAGGGTCTGCAATAGCCTGGGCCTCGGGCCACAGGAACAGAGAACAGAAGCCCTCGCCTGAGGCGAAATGACACAGGACAGTGGACTCAGGGCTGAGACACCTTTATGTCATGCCAGCAGCACCCCCCAGACACGCTGCTCAGCTCAAGGTCGGCCCTGGCTGCACGCCAGCAACAGGTAGGCAGAGCAGAGAGCTGACCTTCGGTTACCAGCGGGAGGGGCCATTAAGACCCCCAAATCTGAACCCAGGCTGAGCATCCCCGGCCAGAGGAGGGAAGGGCCAGCCCCCTGGGAGGAGCAGAGCCAGCTCATGGCAAGTGGGGAGGCTCAGCGCCCCGGCCCTGCCGGCTGTGCCTGTGAGTCCCACAGTGCGATGAGCCGATCAGCCTCCCTCCAGCCGGACAGCAGCGCCCCGTGCGTGGTGGAGTAAAACGTCCGGTGTGTCGCTTCCCCGGCAAACAGCACCTGCAGCTACAGAGAAGGGCCAGGTGAGAACAGGCACTCGGGAAGGGAGCGGACGGGACGGCTGAGGCCCGGTCCAGAAGGCCAAACTCCAAGCAGCAGAAGGCCCAGGGGAAATCACAGGGAGGCGAGAGAATTCGAGTGGATTTCCCTGCTGAGCACACGCCCAGGGGGAGCAGCTGGGGGGGAGGCGGGCAGGGCAGCTGTGCCAGGAGTGGGCAGGGCTGTGAGCTATCAAGGAGGCAGGGGTCAGAGGACACACGGAAGAGGAAGACTGGCTTGGCTCTGCAGCTCCCGGCGCAAGGCCGGGCCAGTCCTCCATCCCAGGGACCGGGTGCTCAGATTAGGCCTTAAACCTAGAGGAAGGCAGAGCTGGGCAGTCCTGAGTCAAGGGCCCTGCCTTCCTGTGCGCTCAGCACTCCCCACAGAGCACCCCCACAGGAGTGCCCCCCAAAGAGCACCCCCAGGGAGCTGGGCTGGTTCAGGGACCAGGGGCCCACCCACCATTGCCGCCTACCTGGGACCCCTTGCCGTCCTCGGGGAGGGGCTGAGCCAACAGGTCAATGTCATCCCCGGTGCTGCCCACGGCCACGTAGCTGTAGGAGCCCCTAGTGTAGGGGGCGCTGTGCCAGCGGGACCTCCGAATGCTCCTGGGCGCCGGGAGCTGCGGGTTTCCTGCAGAGAGGCCTCGGGTCAGCCAGCCCATAGCGCGGGTCTGGGCCAGGTCTGGGTCTGGGCCAGGTCTGGGCCAGGTCTGGTCTGGGCTGGGTCTGGACCGGGTCTGGGTCTGGGCCAGGGCTGGGTCTGGGCCGAGTCTGGATCTGGGCCGGGTCTGGGCTAGGTCTGGGCCGGGGCTGGGCCGAGTCTGGGCTAGGTCTGGGCCGGGGCTAGGTTGGGCCTAGGCTGGGTCTGGACTGGGCTGGGTCTGGGTCTGTGCAGGGTCTGTGCTGGGTCTGGGCCAGGTCTAGGTCTGGACTGGGGCTGGGCTGGGGCTGGGCTGGGCCGGGTCTGGGCTGGGCCTGGGGCTGGACCAGGTCTGGGCCAGGGCTGGGCCAGGGCTGGGTCTGGGCTGGGTCTGGGCTAGGTCTGGGCCGAGTCTGGGTCTGAGCCAGGTCTGGGCTGGATCTGGGCCAGGTCTGGGCCAGGTCTGGGCCGGGTCTGGGCCAGGTCTGGGTCTGGGCTAGATCCGGGCCGGGTCTGGGCTGGGGCTGGGCCAGGTCTGGGCTGGGTCTGGGTCTGGGTTTGGGCTGGGCTGGGCTGGGGCTAGGCTGGGCAGGGTCTGGGGCTGGGCTGGGGCTGGGCTGGGGCTGGGATTGGGCTGGTCCTGGGGCCGGGCTGGGGCTGGGCCTGGGCTGGGTCTGGGCTGGTCTAGGTCTGAGTCTGGGCTGGGGCTGGGCCAGCAAGATGCACTGGGGGTACCAGCACAGCACCTGAAGGAAGAGGCCGTCTCCCCACAGGACTCCACTCAGAGGCCTGAAAAGCCGGTCACTGATGGGCTTGGGCCCTGATGCGAGGGCCTTGCCATCCACCTGGGTGGTGGCCTCCACGGCTGGGACGCCATGAAAGACGACCTTTGCGTCAGAAACCATCCCTGCAGCTCCTCAGAGACGAGGGCACTGCGGGCGGAAGGGCTTGGGGTCTGGGTCTGCGGGGAACCGACAGGAGGGACATGAGCATGGCTGGTACCTGTCACTCTGCGAAGCATGTTGGTCAGGGCCTGCAGCACCTCCTCGTCGGTCAGTGTCTCCATGAACTCTGACTCCAGCCCAGGAATGAAGCCACAGAGGACGTGGGCAGACCTGTAGGCAAACGGATCCTGAGGCCAGAGCCACTAGCCGCTCGGCAGCGCAGGGGGCCCAGAGCCAGCACCTGGGGGATGGCACTCTGAGTCGCCAGGCCATGCCTCTGTCCCGCCAGGTGGCTGCTCCCGCCCTGCCAGAGCCCACGGGGCAGGACCTGCCAGCCCTGGCCCTAGCTCACCCGTTGTCAGGCCTGCAGGAGGATGCTGAACCCCCCGGGGTGTCCCTGCGGGGCAGAGACGGGTGCCAGCTGTACTACTCCTGGGCCTGGCCGTGTCCCCTGATGGGGTGCAGTGGAGGGAGATGGGGTTACGGGCACCCCCGCATGCTGGCGCAGGCTGGCCCTGGTCAGTGGTGTGGCTGCCAGCCCGTCCCATCCACACCTGACCCGGCTCATCCCAAACCCTGGTGTCAGTTCTGCCTCATGCGAAGAGCACTGGAAGGGCCAGCCCAGCCTGGACGCACAGACGGGATGGCTGGGGCCGCGTGGGTGTCTGGGAATAGTGTGCCCACACTACCTCTTTCTCCTGAGTCCTCTGGGCTGAAGAGTGCCCCAGCCCTGCCATGAGGCCATGTCCTCCCTGCGTTAGCGCCCGGTCGCCTCTCCTGCCCCTGGCACCGCTGGGCCCCACAGTCCAGCTCTGGAGCCGGGGCCGCTGCACCACTGGGAGAGGTGTCTGCTTATTGCCTCGGCCTCTGCCATCTCCCCAGCTGCACACATACCATGTCCCACTCCCTTCTGCTGCCCTCAAGCCCCCGCTCCCAGGAATCTCCAGACAGTCTGCCTGCGCGGCCCCTGCATGCCCTTGGCCTGAGGCGCAGACAAGCTGTGCACAGGAGGTGGCTTCTGTCCCTGCGGGGGTCCCGGGGTCTGCAGGTGCCAGGGGCTCGGGACTGCTACCCAGAGGTGCCAGAAACACCAGACGTGGACACGGCCATGACCGCCCTCGCCGCCGCGCCCGCCCCGGCTGGGCAGCACATACTCGAAGGAAGGCAGGACCAGGAAGCCAATGAGCTTCTTGACCCAGGCGTCCTGCAGCGGGGCAGCCGCGTCCTGCAGGGGCGAGGAGCCCTCCCACACCACCTGGATGTGCTCGCAGCCGGGGTCCCAGAAAGGCTCCTCGAACTCCAGGAAGATCTTGTTGTTGGTCCCGAAGCCAAGTCTCCTGATGGCATCTGCCTTCTCGGGGGGCAGCGGGGGCTGGAAGAAGGTGTCCAGATGCTCCTTGAGAAAGCCTGGAATTCAAAATCAGACTTGACTTGCAGCACAAACACTTCCCAACCGGACCCCGCCTGACCCCCCCGGGAGGCCCACACACAGCATCCCCCAGAGCCTCTCCAGGCGGGAGCATGGCATGGAGACCCCCCAGGCCACAGCCTCACCCCTGCAGGCCAGACCCGGCAAGCCCACCGCCCCACCCTGCCAGGAAGCTTCGGTCTGAGCCTCTGCCCCTCCGCCAGCCTCGCCCAGAGGTACCAAAGCATTGCTCTGCAGGGCGCGACAGCGCTGCCCATAGTCAAACAGCGGGGGATGAAATTGCGGCGCCGGCCAGTGTCCCGAAGACAGATGACCCCAGGTGGGCGGGAAGAGGGAGAGCCAGGCCGCCAGAGGCCCCCCAACCACCTGCTGCTTCTCGCACCTGGACTCCCCCAGGAAACACCCACAGGAGGGCAGGCGCCCCTCCAACCTCGCGGGGGCGGGGGGAGTGTGAAACAGCCTGACTTCTGTGGAGCCGGTGGCATTAACGAGGGCCCTCCATGGGAGGAGGGGCCCCTGAGAACAAAGGGGCCTGGCCGCCACAGCAGCCACCCAGGGGCCAGCGCCATCAGCAGTCGCTGGGGCGCACAGAGGAGCAGAGAGAAACGCGCCCACTGACAGGCAGGAGCCCTGCGGCAACTTCGGGCAGCACAGAGCAGGGTCGCAGCATCTGCGCGGCTCCGTGGGGGTGACGGGCCGGCGCCCAGGGCGGGTGCACCTCCCTCACCGAGCCCAGCTCCCCGTGCCGCCCATGCAGGCAGCTGCCAGAGCAGGCACTTGGCGACAGGCAGGGAGCAGGGCGGTGGGGGGGAGAGGGGGCAGTTTGGCCCCCCACGCCTGTTCTCTCGCTGCGCCCCACAAGGCTCGGGCTAAAGGGCCTGCACTGACTCGGGAGTCACATGTGACCACCGCGTCCTCTAGGTCTCCCTCCAGAGTGGCCAACCTCCCGGTGAGAGGCACGAGCCCCTTCAGAATCTGAGGGGCTGAGCTCACAAAAGGTCACCGCGCCTCACCCAGGGGCACGGTGACCACGACGTGGTGTGCCAGGAAGCGGTCCCCGTCCTCGCACTCCACCAGCACCGGGAAGGTGTCCCCCGGAGACTCGGGCTCCCGGAAGGTCCCCTGCCAGTGGATGGTCTTCACCGGCTTGTTAAGGGCCAGCGCGTCTGCGGGCAGCGAGGCGGCGAGGCGGTCCGTGAGCCCCTGGTAGCCCCTAGGAGAGACGGGTGGGCGTGCAGGCCTCACGCGGAGGTGCCAGATGACCCCGGGGCCACAGCCCTGGGACCGACATGCCGCGCATGGAGCCCTCAGCAGGCGGGAGGTGAGTCTGGAGCCCCAGGAGAGCTGACGCAGCCAACCCCGGTGAGGAGTGAAAGGCCAGCCAGGCAACCAGGGGAACATGGGGCCTCTGCTGCGCCCCGCTCCAGCTGGCGCCACCGAGGGGCGGGGCGGCCTGTGTGCATGCGTGTGTGTGTGTGTGTGTGTGTGTGTGTGTGCGCGCGCAAGCACACCTGAGCCTGGGCCTGCCATGCGCCTGTGCACGTGGGGAATGCGGCCACAGTGGGGGGGCTTGTGCCCACCGTCCAGGTGTGTTTCCCCTTAAACTGGGCAAGACAAAGTCTGTGAAGCCTGAGGCTGGGGCTTCACCTGAGACAGCAGGACGAGGGGGGTGGGGCTGTGAGGCGGCTGGGGTGCACGCAGCGTGCAGACTGCGGGGCGCAGCGGGCACTCACCCAGAGAAGGTGCAGTCCAGCCCGGGCAGCACGGTGTATTCGCCGAAGGGCTTGAGGGCCACCAGGTCCATGCTGTGCGTGCCGCTCACACTGCACTCCAGGTTGAAAAGGCTCTTCAGGACGGCCAGCTTGAGCTCCTTGGTCTCCTGGTCCTCTGTCCAGCCAGCCATGTGCCGGCTGATCTCCTTCTTGAGGAACTCCCCGACGCTGGCTGCGGGGGCCTCCGCCGCGTGCAGGAACTCCCGGGCCTGGTCCATGAGGCCGTAGAACAGACCGGCAACCTCTGCCACCAGCTCCAGGCTCACCCTGCCCCCGGAGCTGGTGTAGGACACCGAGGGCAGCCCCACGTGGCCCCCCGTGTCCACCCGCTGGTTCTCCTCCGACAGCTCCCTCTCCCCCAGCAGCCCGTACTCAACCGCCAGCTGGAAGACGGGGTTGCCCGGCGAGGGGCCGTGGATCCAGTGGGCGCCCACCTCCACCACACCGCCTGGGGGACAGGAGAGGCCGCCTAAGACCCACACCCAGGGTGGTCCCGAGCCCGGGTCCTGGCAGGGCCTCCCAGCTGGGCTCGGGGAGCCAGGGGGTGCTGGCCTGCACCTGCCATGCTGGGGAGGCCCTGAGAAGGCCCTTGGGGGCTGAAGGGGCCAGGGAGCCACCCAGGGGCCAGAGGGGCAGCTGCGTGCGGGGACAAGGGGCAGCCGTGTAGCGCCCGGGGCGCCGCCCTGACTGCCGGCCGCTGGGCCTCCGGGACCGGCGACCTTTGGCTGGGAGAGCCGGCAGGGCCAGGAGTGGCTCAGGGGGCGGAGGAGGCTCCGGGATCGCTGCGGGGCGCAGCCCAGGCCCGGAGCCCGGGGGGCCCGCGGCGGCGCGCGGGCCGGGAGGGCGTTCGGGGAGGCCCTTCGGGAGAGGCGGTTACCCCAGCCGCGCTCCGAGCGGATGCGGCCCCCGGCCCGGGCCGTGGCCTCCAGGACCCGCAGGCTGGGGCGGGCCGGGCGGCCGCACAGCCGCTGCGCCGCGCCCAGCCCCGCGATGCCGCCGCCCACCACCAGCACCCGCGGGCCGCGGGCCGGGCCCTCCGCGCCGCCGCCCCGGGGCTCCATCGCGCGCACTCGGCCGGGCCGCGCACCCCAAGTGCCGGCAGCCGGGGCGGGCGGGGCGGGCGGGGCGGGCGGGGCGGGCCGGGGGCGGGGCCGCGCCCGGAAGCGGCTGAGGAAGGAGGGCAGCCACCCCGGGGCCAGGGAGCCCGAATGTGCCCCCCCCCCGAGGGCCGCCGCCGGGAGCACGCGTGTCCCCGCGCAGGGAGGCCACGAGCGAGAGGGAGGCAGAGGGGCCCCGTGCAGGCTCCACTCCAGGCCCCTATAAGCCGGTGGCCTTTGGGAGCCCAGGGAGGGCAGCCCCAGGGGCGGCAGGCGGAGAGTCAGCTGGACCAGGCATCAGGGCGGGCTGTGAGGGCAACTCCAGGGCCCACTGGTCCCTCCTGTGTGGCCTGTGCACCCGCCTGCGTGCAGGTGGTGCGTGCAGGGGTGCGCGGGGCTCACCTGGCCCAGGCAGCAGTCGGCCACATAGAGCACAGGGGTCAAGGCAAAGGGTCAGTGCAGAAAGCCCCTGCCCCTCACAGGCCAGCACCTGTACTGCTCTTCTGGGAAGCCCCGAGGCTCAGCGCCCTTCCCCGCCACACAACAGGGGCTGTCCAGAGGTCATCGGGCTTCCCTGGGCAGCTGCACAGGCAGCCCTCGCTTCCCAGCCGCAGCAGACCACCAGAGTGGGCGCTTTGTGGGCCTCCTGTGGCCACCTGGCCCTCTGGGTGAGGGTGCCACCCTGCAGGCCACAGCCACACACATGCTTGCTCCCGCCTGGACAGGCACTTTCCATCCGGGATTTTCCCTCACACGGGCAGGTGGCTGGGCCTCCCCAAGCTGGCCTTCCTGCTGTCCATTCTCCTCCGATGCACTCCAAGTGTTGTGAAGCTGGGGGTCGCTCTGTGCAATGGACTCTCAGAGGGCACTGCCAGCGGAGGCGCTTCCTGTGCCCTCACACTTGGCTGTGCTTTGCGGGACACAGGTTCCAGGCAGCAGACCTCTCCCCACGCCTGGGCTGGCCTCCTTGTCCCCCGCAACCAGGGAGGCTCTGGGAAGCGCGATGGTGGCTGTGGACAGCTTCATAGGTTGCATCGTGACCCTTTGCACCACTAGGGAGGCCCTCCTGTGCCCCTGAGCTGCAGCTCTCCCCGTGCAGCCAGGCTAAGCCCCGCTGGGTAGACGTCACCTGTCTGCACTCTGTGGAGGCTTTGCACTGAGTTCATGGTGTGGCAGCTCCTGCCTCCATGGTTGGCAATGCCACTGTTGCCACCATTGCTCGCCAGTAATTGGATGAAATAAAGAGTGGCTGTACTGTGGATGCTCACAAATAGAGTACGTAAGACCCTCTTCCCCTGTGCGCTGGACTGGACAGTCAAGGACGGGTAAGATCGGGGGCAGACTAAAGAAGGCACTGGCCAGCCTCATGTCTGTGACTCCTGACGACCTAAGACAGGCGCAGTCCCCGAGGGGCTTCATCATGATAAACTTTGGCGTTCAGATCAAACAAGGCCTATAAGCCTATAAGCCCAATCTAGGCAATAAGCCTGCAGTAAAAAACCCCTTCTTTGCTTGAAAACAAGGCTGCTGAGAGTGTTGCCTACAAACAAGCCTGATGGAATTACCTACAAAGCAGTTTAACCATTAACCAGTTAATCATTGTTTCTGAATAAGTAGTAACTTAGCAACTTGTCCATAATTAATTTTCTTACCTGACTTTTTCTATATATGTAAAAATCAGTTTCAGGAAATGTAACCACATATGCTTAGCAACTTGTAAACTATTAGCTAGAAAATTGTATTCTATGCCTAGGTAACAAGAAACATTGTTATGCTGGGAAAATAGATTTTGTGTGACCTAATGCCTTTTGAAAATGTATAAATATGCGTAATGATTTGAGCAAACTACACTCAGATTTTCACTCTCCCTTGAGTGTGTCTGTGTGTCATTCTTTCTTGTCCCCCGCCCTAATTCCTTCGACCACCTTCTGCTCGTTCTCACTCAACCCTGAGACTGTCTCGACCTCCCGCCGCCGCTGGGCTGGTCTGCGGCATCATGGTGTCCTTTCAAACACAAACCCCTTTCATTTTGGTGAAGCACAGTATGTGTGTGTATGGGGGGAGAGGGTCCCTTGTGCTTTTCTTCCAAAATCATATGATGAAGGACAGCGGCTACCTGGCGTCACGGCCACCCTGGAGTCGCCAGCTTCTGTTTCAGGCATTTCCAATTCGGGTGCCTCTCCCGGTGGGTGAGTTGGCCTCCCCAGGCCAGCGGTTGTTGGCGATCTGTTTCTCTGTGCAGGAAAATGTTTTTACTGTCAGCCTTGAAATAAAATTTTGATGACTATTCAATTCTGGCTTAAAGTTTTTTCTTGAAAACCCCAGTTTAGGGCCTCCTTAGGGGTGCAGGGATTGTCTCAGCACTGTGAAGCTGTCCGCAGCCACTGCGGCCTGAGTTCGATCCCCAACCAGGGAGCTGACCCACAGGGTGCCCCAGACCTCATCTGTCTCCCCCCTGCCCCCTCAGCAGTGGATTTCAGTTGATCCGCTGTTCTGCTCCCCACTCTGTCTCTGATGAATTCTCTCACCTCCGCACCTCTGACCTGTACCCCAGTTCTCGTATGCATAAATAAATAAATCTTAAAAAAAAAAAAGAAAGAAAGAAAATGCCAGTTTAGTGGCGTTTCACAGTGGAGTCTTCTCCGCGCTGATGTGCACACCGCTGGGCCGGCGCACAAATGGAGACCTGCTGATACGCGTCCAGATACTGAAAAATGAAAACGTTAACATGTAAATTAATTAATCTTCCCGTTGCCAAAATGCAGTAAAATCTCAGCTTTCCAGGGCAAGAGTCACCACCTGGCGAGTGGCCCGTGCGCGGGGGCGGGGCGCGCAGGTGTGCGCGCAGGTGTGCGCGCAGGTGTGCGCGCAGGTGTGCGCGCAGGTGTGGGCAGCCTCACCCAGGGAGGGGCGGGCGGGCCTGCCGCGCCTGAGCGCCTCTGCCCCTCGGCTCCTTTCCGGGCTGCTTGGATTTTCCTCCGACTCCGGGCCGGGGCCGCAGCGCTCCCGCGGAGGAGGCAGGAGGCGGCGCGGGGCGGGCCGCCCCGGCGGCGTCAGGCGGGTCCTGCTGCGCGGGGCCCCCGGGCTCACGCCGCCCTCCGCTGGCCTCACAGCCCCGTGGACAGTCGGACTCCGAGGTCCGGGGACCCAGTCGGAGCCGCGGCCCCGTGGCCCGGGGAGCGGGGAAGCCTGTCCGCGCGCAGGCCACGCGGCTGACCCGGGCAGGGCCGAAGGCCACGCGACCGGCCCGGCGGAGACGGAGGCGCCGCGGGCGGCCTCGGCAGAGCTGTCCGGCGCCCCGGCCCCGGCCCCGGCCCCGGCCTGCTCGCGGCTGCGGGCTCCTCCGCTCGTCCCCCCGCGCCGCCGCGCTGGGGAGGGGGCGCCGCTGCTGCCCGCCCGATCCGCGGGCGCTCAGACCCCGGCTCGGCTCGGGGCGCCGGCCCGGGAGCAGCGGCGCGCCCGAGGGCGCTGCAGCGAGGCCCCGAGCGGGGGCCGCCCTGGGGCCCCCCGGGCTGACCCTGCAGCTCGGGCCGGCGGGGTGGGCGGAGGGGGCGACGGGGAGCGCCCCAGCCCCTCGCTGGAACCCCAGCTTCCCCTCGAGGCCCCTCTACTCGCCCTCCGCCCTGCTCTCCCGCCTAAAGCAGGTGGGTCGGCGGCGCCCAGAACCGGGCCAGGTTCCGCCCGGCCGGCCCCGCCCCGTCCGCCCGGCCCCTCGCCCTCCCGCCCCGTCCTCCCGGCCCCGCCCCCTCCTCGTCCTCCCGCCCCGGCCCCGCCCCCTCCTCGTCCTCCCGGCCCCGCCCCGCCGCCGCGCGGTCTCGCGGTGCTGCGCGGTCTCGCGAGGCCGCCTGGGGGCCGGGCCGGCGCTGAGTGGCTCGGCCGGGGGCGGCTCCGCGGGGCGGGGCGAGTCGTCCCCGACGCCATGGCCGCCCTGCGCGCCCTGCTGCTGCCCGTCCGCCGCGCGCTGCGCCCGCGCCCCGGCTGCCCCGCGCGGCGCCCCTTCGCCTCGGGTAGGGGCGGGCCGAGGGGGGAGGGCCGGGCGGGGCTCTGGCGCCGCTGTCCCTGCGGGACCCCTAACCTCGCCGGACCCCGCTTCCCAGGACCCCGCGCCTGACCCCCGGCCTCGCCGGGACCCCTCTTGCCAGGGCCGACCCCCAGGACCCCACGTGGCCGGGCCTGCAGGGTTGGGGTCCGTGTGCCCCACCGGCGCCCGCGCAGCTCTGCGCCCCCTGGGCCGCGCCCGGAGGCAGCTGCGCGGGCAGCGGGGCTGGAAGTGGGGCCTGCGTGCCCCGGGCCCGCCGTCCCGCCTGCCCGCGCCCTCGGCTCCCCCCGGCCGCTCCGCCAAGCCCCGGGGCCCTGCCCCCACCAGCTGGGGAGACCCTGCTGCCCTCTGCCTTGGCTGCCCAGTCACATTCACCAGCCTGCCCAGGAGGCCCGCCGGCCCAGGTGTTCCCCGGTTCACACACCTGCTGGACGGGCCGCATCCCAGGCTAACCTCCGGGTGGCCGCCTCGTCCCCTGGCAGCAGCATCCCCGGGCAGTGGCGGTCCCTGGAACCTGTGTCTCCCCTGAGGCCGCCCACAGCCCAGGCCAGAGCCCCCCACCTGGTCAGCAGGTGCTGACGGCCCCGGAGGCTGTGGAGCGCCCAGGCAGGCGAGGCAGCTGCTGTCACCAGGGTTGCTCCAACTTAAGCAGGTCTTTGAACCTGGGAGAGCAGGTGGCACAAAGGCCACTCAGGTGGAGTTCTGCTACCGCCTGCAGGCCAGCCAGGGCCCCTCGGGAAGGCTGGGGTCTGTCCCTGGGTGGGGCGGCTCCCCTAGTTGGATGCCGACCCCAGTGGAAATGCCTGTCTGCCTCCTGGTCCCAGGTGCCGGCTTTGAGTACATCATCTCGGAGAAGACGGGGAAGGGCGGCAGCGTGGGCCTGATCCGGCTGAACCGCCCCAAGTCCCTCAACGCCCTCTGCGACGGCCTGATCACTGAGCTCAACCAGGCCCTGGACGCCTTCGAGGTGGACCCAGCCGTGGGAGCCATCGTCCTCACGGGCGGGGAAAAGGCATTTGCAGGTGCGGGGGCACTGAGTGGCGCAGGCTTCCCCAGGGAGCACCCCAAGTCTGCTCTGAGGACAGACTCTCCGAGCCCGTGGCAGTCAGGACAGCAGGAGGCACAGGGGCTTGGTGCTGGGCCTGCAGCCCAGCCTACCATCTGTCCCCAGCCCCTCCCCTAACTGACCTGTCGCAGGAGCCAGGGAACTTTGTTGAGAGCTGACAGGCAAGTTCTGTCCTGCTTGCATGTTGGGGTGCGAGGCCTGGCAGGGTTGCCTTGGCCAGGAGAGTCTGCGTTGGACACGCATGTCCCGAGACAGACCAAGCCAGCCACCTGCTCGTCTGCGGGCCCGTGTCACCGCCCAGCTGCATGTCCGGGCACTGTGGCCCCAGAGCACCCGCGCAGCGTCCCTACAGGCCCAGGCGGTCCCGTGCTTCCCGTTGGCTGGGGGTCTCTAGTGACCGGAACCTTGCTCCGTCCCCAGCTGGGGCAGACATCAAGGAAATGCAGAGCCGGACCTTCCAGGACTGCTACTCCGGTACATTCCTGGGCCACTGGGACCGCCTGGCCCGCGTCAGGAAGCCCATCGTGGCCGCCGTCAACGGCTTCGCTGTGAGTACAGCCTAGCCCCTTTGGGCCCCTGGGCATTATTTGCAAATGAGAAGGTTCTTGTTTGGAGGGGCCTGCTGTCTGGTTTCAGGGTCAGCTGGCCTTTCCTACTGAGGGGAGCTGGAGAGAAGGGTTCCCGCCTCAGCTGCTGACAGTGGCATTCAGCTGCCCTCCCTCTGCCCTCTGTTAAGAAAGCCCCCAGCGTGCCCGTGCCCTGCCACCCGGAGGCTCCTCTCCCACCACCACAGGGCGAAGGCCACACCTGCGACCCTCCTGGCCGTTCTCACGCCCCTGCAGCACCTCAGGCCGTCAGCGTGCGGGCGCCCTGTGGGCCCAGCTGCTGGTAGCTTGAGAGGCACGGAGGCTGGCCCCTGCTCGCCCGGGCGCTTTCTGGCGCGGTGAGCCCCACCCAGGGTGGAGGGTCCACGAAACTGGCCCCTGTGCTGGGATGTGGCCCTTCGCAGGAGGGATGTGCCAGCTCTGACCTCGCGGCAGCCGCTGACCTGATGCTCCCCGAGCTGGCCCTCTGTCGTCTCTACTGGGCCACATTTGTGTTTGCAGAAGCCCAGTTAGCACTGTGCTGACTTTCCAAGGGGCTCCCTCTCGTCCTGCAGCTGGGCGGGGGCTGCGAGCTTGCCATGATGTGCGACATCATCTACGCCGGAGAGAAAGCCCAGTTTGCGCAGCCAGAAATCCTGCTGGGCACCATCCCAGGTAAAGGCAGAGGGCCCTGGCCACCATGGCCTCTGCCAGCGGCACCCCTAGCCCATGCCACACACTCCCAGGGCAGACCGGCCTCAACCACCATCCCCCTCACCAGCCCCCCGCCGAGGGCCCTCCGCTCCTGGCCCCATGGGTGAGTGTCTGCCCAACGCCTAGAGCAGGGACTGCAGGGGCTCCTGACCCGACAGGTGCAGCAGGCAGTGGGGGCGCAAGTGGGCAGGAGGCCTGGTCAGCCCAAGCCCGTGGGCATCTCCAGGCTGTCCCCACAGCTCCCTGTGGCCCAGGCTCGCTCAGGGCCAGTGGCGGTGCTGCTGGCGCGTGGGGCTGGGCTCCATGGGCTCAGGGTACAGAGGGCTAGGAGGAACACCCTCACCCATGGCCCCGTCAGGATGTGAGACCTGACCTGAGCGGGGCTGCTGCCAGGGCTCGGAAGCCCCACGGGGGGGCGGGCCTATGGGCACTGTGCTGGCTCCAGGTGCAGCTGCTGGGTGGAGGGTCACGTGGAAGTGGACTGGAGATGCCCCATGGGTCCTTGGCCCTTCCTGCACAGCCGTTTCCAGCCCCTCAGAACTCACCGGCAGCACATCTGGCACCTTCTTGCCTCACCTGCCAGAGCCAGCTGTGACCTTTAACCCCCTCCCTCTAGGCGCAGGGGGCACTCAGAGGCTGACCCGTGCTGTCGGAAAGTCGCTGGCCATGGAGATGGTCCTCACTGGTGATCGGATCTCAGCCCAGGACGCCAAGCAGGCAGGTAAGAGCCAAGGCACCTGCGGCCGCGCTCTGGGAAGCTGAGTGGACAGGGGCTGTGCCAGGTCCGGGCGCCTTTGGGGGTCCTGAGGACCTGGGGACTGGTGGCCGGTGTACCAGAGCCAACCTGGGATGCAGCTGCACGGTCGCGGGTCAGAGTCAGCAGGCACACCCCTGCTGGCCATGGGAGGGGCACTCCAGGGCCCTGCTCCATCCTGGAGGGCTTCCGCTCTGTCCTGAGGGCCCCTTGCCGTCCTGGGGGGCCACCGCGCTGTTCTCTGTCTTGCGCCTCAGGTCTTGTGAGTAGGATCTTCCCAGTGGAGACTCTGGTCGAGGAAGCTGTCAGGTGTGCAGAAAAGATCGCCAGTAACTCAAAAATCATCACAGCGATGGCCAAAGAATCCGTGAATGCAGGTGACCCCCGCGGCGTCCCTGTGTAGGGCCATGGCTGTAGTGGCTCCCGCAGACCCCGGCAGAGTGTCCTGAGCCCCAGGGCATCAGCATGGGGCCAGGCAGGCAGTGACCAGCGGCAGCCAGAGGTCAGCAGTCATGCGGGTCCTGCCCTTTTCCACCAGGCAAACCCTAACCCTCTGGGGCGCCGGCATCGGCTGCAGCCTTGTTCCCGCGCTTGGAGGGTGCATGCTCAGCGGCGTGCACTGAGGCGGTGTGAGCCCCGGGAGCCCCCTGGCCAGCCACACCCCCAGCTGCACACGCACCTCAGGACACTGCGCCCACCCGCGGCCCGCGTTTCTCTAGCTGCGGGACTCCTGGAGGCCCTCGTGTTGGGCGCGTCTGCCAAGGCAGCGGCAGCAAGACGTGGAGCCACGAGGCCATGCACACAGGCCTGGTGTGTGGAGGAGGGAGCCGGAGCTGGGTCAGGGCACTGGGCGCTGGCCAAACTCCCAGTTTTCTTTTTCAGCTTTTGAGATGACGCTGACAGAGGGAAATAAGCTGGAGAAGAAGCTCTTCTATTCAACCTTTGCCACCGTGAGTAGCTGAGTCCCTGCCCCTTGGCCAGGCCTGCCCTGCCCCGCGCCTCCCTGGTTGGTGTGTGGCCTGGAGGCGCGGCCTTGGCTGACCACAGGCGCAGCCTGGCTCCCGGGCCGGCTGCCGGACGCAGGTTCCATAGAGTTGGGAAGCTGGGGCCTCGGGGCCAGGGCTCCTGGGGCATCTGCGCGGAAGCCGTCCTGGCACTGCCCCGGCCCTCAGAGCCCACAGGTGTCCTGTAAGAGGTAGGCCGTGAGGACAGGGGTCGACCACTGCGGGCGAGCAGCGCGTCCCCACACACCAGCTGCCTAACCCCCCGCGAGGATGCTGCTGAGACGCCCTCCGACCCCCACCCACCCCCCCCCCGCCCCATGGGCAGGGTCCAGGGCTGGGCCGGGCCAGGTCCCCCAGCAGAGCCCAGGGCGGGAGGTGCGGCGCCGGCGAGTGAGCCCCATTCCCCTTCCTGCAGGCGGACCGGAAGGAGGGCATGACCGCATTTGTGGAGAAGAGAAAGGCCAACTTCAAGGACCAGTAGGGCCCGGCCGCTCTCCAGGAAAGACCCGCCGCCCCTCGGGCTTCGGGGTCTCTCAGCGCCGGGTCAGTGTGGGCTCCGCCAGGGCCACGGTGCGCCGGGGCCGTCTCAGGTCACCATCTGCCTTCCTTGGTCAGCTGCGAGGGTGGACGTTCTGCTGCTTTTGTAAACCTGGAGTGGGGCGTATCAAGGGCTGCACACACGGCGCCCCATAAATATCTCCTCCTTGCCGCCTGGCGTCCTTCTTGTTGGGGTGAAATGAGCAAGACTGAGGAGTCACTTCTGCCGCCTTCGGGCACGGTGGCGAGACGGCCTGGGTGGTCTGGCCTTCCCAACAGAGGCGGCCGGCGGCCCCTCCCTGACCCCCGTGGCCCGGGCTTGGGGCCTGTGTGGCTCCTGGTCATCAGGACAGGTGGGGCCAGCCCCTTCAGGCCCCTGTCCCACGGCTCGGTCTCCCCACTCCTGCTCCGGTGCTCTGGACCCCAGAGCCTGGGGGCAGCCTGGAGCCCAGTCCTCATGGCGTTGGGGTCCTGCTGTGAGACTGCAGCTGCAAGGGCCAGGGCAGGGTGGCATGGATGGGCAGCGGGTACACCCTGGGAGGCAAAACACAGGTGCCAAGGTCCCCGGCAGCTCGGGCTGAGGACAGCCGGCCGCGTCCTCTGCGCAGTGCCGGGAGCTTGGCGGAACACCTGTGACGCAGTGGCTGCACAAGAAGCGCCCCTGCCCCGTTCTGGCCTCGCACCAGCCCAGAGTCGGCTACCCGCGCCACAGGCAGTCCAGAAGGGGGTCCCCTGGGGCACGGAGCCTCCCGAGGAAGAGGACATTGCTGGCCTGGTCGGGGCCTGGACAGTAGGGCCTGCTGGTTCTGAGCACACAAAGCCACAAGCTCGGGGCTTGGGGGAGAAGGCCCCCGTGGGGGTGACTCCACCCACCAGGGGGCAGAGCACTGCCTAGGGGGCCAGGCTGGCTGGGAGCTGAGACCACCCCGCACCCACTGTCCTGTGGCTCAGTGTCGCCCCTGCTTGCCAGTGTGTCCCCCTCGCCCTGCAGCTGGGCAGGGCAGGTGGCCTGGGGCCGTTTCTGGGGTGAAGGGATTGGGGCCATCCGGGGGGGTGGGCTGTGCACCCGCAGGTCTCATCAGGTTAGGTTTGGTGACACAGCAAGGGGGGGGCCCTGTAAGGGCTGGCCTGTCCTGGCGGCCGCTCCCGGCCAGTGTGGCCCCATGGGGCAGCAGAGGCGCTGGGTCCGCTGGTGTGAGCCTAACTCTGCCACCATCAGGACACGGTGACCTTGGGCAAGCCCCAGGCCTTGAGCATGGGTGTGCCTGCCAAGAAGTAGGTGCAAGGGGACCTGGCTCGGGCCAGCCGAGCTGAAGGACCTGGGGCAGGGCAGGAGTCCGAGGCAGCAGGAGTGAGAGGCTCCTGCCAGGGTCCAGAGCCAAGGGGAGAGCCTTAAAGTGGGGCAGGTCCAGTCATTGCAGCCCCTGGGCAGTGGGGCCACCTGGGACCGGGACGTGCCCAGCCAGGCCGAGCACAGCCACGTGGGTATCCACACTCCTGAAGGCCCGTCTCCATGGCCAGTTGGGCTCCACAGCTTGACAGCCACAGCCCCCTGGGCCCGGCAGGACCTTCAGGCTTAGCGCTGGGCCTGGGGGGGGCGGGGGCTGCAAGGCCATAGGGGTACAGGCAGGACTGTCCTGCTGAGTCCAGACCCTGTTACTGTGCTGAGGACACCAGGTTGGGTGCCTGACCTAGGCCCCTTGGGCCTGCGAGGTCACTGGCAAGACAGGGTGCCTGGGGCTGTCACATCCAGAGCTCCCCCCAATGGGCCTCTGGGCATCAAGTTTTGGGGACAGCTCTGGGCACGGCCCAGGGTCTGGCTGGAAGGCAGGTGCTGGGCCTCAGCTCTGAAGGGCGAGGCCGGGCCTGGGTGGGCTGGACCAGGTCAGCCACCTCCCACTGGGTGGGCCAAGTACTTGGCAGGGATTGCCCCCCCCACCCCTGCCCTAAGGTGAGGCCGGAGGGCCAGGGCGGGGCCCCTGGGACTGGCCATGGGACTGGGTGGTGGGTTCTGCCTCAGGGGTCACGTGTCTGCCTCAGGGGAGGAGTGGGGAGAGCAGCAGGGCTGAAGGCCAGGGGCAGCAGAGTGGCCAGTGCTCCAGGATCCCCAGGGCCCCTGTAGGGCCAGGAGTGGCCAGAAGAGTCAGGGAGTCAGCGCCTCAGACCTCCCCAGGAGGCCAGCTGGACGGGGGGCCTGCTGGAGGCACGATGAGGCTCTCCGGCTCCAAGGAGGGGGCAGGCCCCAGAGAGGCAGGCGGGACTGGCCGGCGCCACCGCCTGGACTCTGCCCGGGCGTGCATGCGGGGCCCTCGAGGGCCGGTGCGCTGCGGAGCGCTGGGCGGGAGGAGCCCACTCCTCGGGGCAGGTTGCTCTGAGGGCCAAGCCCGAGCCGCTCCCGATTCCAGGCCTCCAGGGGCGCCGGCCGGGCAAGGCGGGGGAGTCAGGAGGGGGACTGCACTCCCACACCCCATCTACATCCGGACAGCGGGTGTGGGGGGATGGCGAGGAACCGGGGCCCCTGGTCAAAGGTCAGAGCACTGCTGTCCCGAGTGGCGGTGCTGGACCGAGCCAGGTGCTGGGTGGCCGCAGCAGCCGAGCCCCGGGAGACCCGGCGAGAGGCGAGCGCCCCGCGGCGGCTCAGCGGGGACCTGCCGGCCGGGCTGGGGCGGCGCAGGTGGAGGGGCGTCAACGCCGTCCGCGGGGGGGCGCTGGGGACCCCCGGACGACGAACACAGGCAGGCCCCGCATCCGCTCTTGGACCTGGTTAGGGCTGCGAGGCCGGCCGTCCCCGAGGCGCCCCGCTCCTCGGCGCAGGGAGGAGGCCCGGGGTCCGCGACTCCGGACCCCGCCGCCGCTTCCCGCCGGAGGGGCCCCGCCCCGCCGAAGCCCCGCCCACCCGCCGGGGTCCCGCCCAGACCCCGCCCACCGTGTCCCGCCTCCCGCCGAGGCCCCGCCCACCGGCCGGGGTCCCGCCCGCCGAGGCCCCGCCCGCCGTGTACCGCCCCCGCCGAGGCCCCGCCCACCCGCCGGGGTCCCGCCCGCCCGCTGAGGCCCCGCCCACCGGCCGGGGTCCCGCCCGCCGAGGCCCCGCCCGCCGTGTCCCGCCCCCCGCCGAGACCCCGCCCACCCGCCGGGGTCCCGCCCCCCGCTGAGGCCCCGCCCACCGTGTCCCGCCCTCCCGCCGAGGCCCCGCCCGCCGTGTCCCGCCCCCCGCCGAGGCCCCGCCCTCCCCGGCCCGCCCCGCCCCGCCGCGGCCGCGACCATGGTGGCGCTGAAGGGTGTCCCCGCGCTGCTGTCCCCCGAGCTGCTCTACGCGCTGGCGCGCATGGGGCACGGGGACGAGATCGGTGAGTGCGCGGGCGGGGCAGGGCCTCGGGGACCCCGCCCGGGCGGCGCCGCGTCCCCAGGTAGAGCGGGGTTCTGCGTGGGCGCGGGGCGCGGTGGCAAACCCCGCCCCCCGGCCCCCGCCCCCCGGGCCCCCCACCGCCGCCCCGCCCCCCCGACCCCCCCGGCCCCCCGACCCCCCCCGCCCCCCCGACCCGCGCCCCCCTCCCGCCGCCCCCCAGCCCCGCGCCCGCCGCCCCCCAGCCCCGCCCGCCGCGCGCGCCCGGGTCGCCCCCCGCGGCTGCGCGCCCTTGGACCCCTCCCAGGCTCCCGGGCGGACGCGGGACCCGCGGGGCGCCGTGTCCCGGGGCCTCCCCCGCCCCCCACACCCCACCCCCACACCCCCACACCCCCCGCGGGGCGCCACTCGGTGCTCGCCCGGGTTTACCTGGCGCCTCGCTGGCCCCCGGGGCGGAGGCCGCGGTGTGGCCCAAGGCCCGACCCGACCCACCTGGCCGCGGGGCCGATGCGGGAGGGAGGGGCCCCTCCAGCGCCCGCCCTAAGCGTGTCCCCCCCAGTGCTCGCAGATGCGAACTTCCCCACGGCCTCCGTCTGCCGGGGCGGCCCCCAGGAGATCCGCGCGGACGGTGAGTGGCCTCCCGCGGCCGGCGGGGTCCCGGCCCCACGGCTCCCAGGTCCCCACCAGTGACCCCGCAGAACCAGCGCCAAGACCCTTGACACGGCCCAGCCCCCCGTGAGCACCGGGCCTTGTGCTGCTGCTCAGATGCCCCTGGGGGAGCAAGCACCCCCTTGACCGAGCAGTGGTGCCCCCAAATGCCACTCCTTGGCCCCTCCTGGCTGGGGAGACCACGCCTCTCACCGAGCCCCCCTGGGCCCACCTCCGAGGCAGCCCTAGGAGGGCTTAGCTGTTGTGAGGGGCTTGGGAACCTGGAGGGGGGCTCCAGTGGGTGACCAGTCCCATCCTGCCCCGGCTGGCCCTGGGCCCAGGATAGTGCCTGCACCCCAGGCCACCCCACGATGCATGAGGAAGGACCAGGACCCTGCAGAGGTAGACCCCTGAGGCACAGGGATGCACCACATGGGGTGACCAGCCCCTCTGGATGGAGCTGCCCACTGGCCACTCAGCCTCGTTCCCATACGGCCCAGCGCCCCCACCCCTCCCCGCTCACGGAGGGCAGCATGCCCCGCTGGGCCGGAATGCCCCGGGGTGAGGAGCCGCCGCTGTGGGACTCTGGGCCAAGCTCCCAGAGGAGGCGGGAGGCAGCGCCTCTGGCTTGGTCAGGCAGCCGCAGGGCGCCTCAATGCTCAGAACCCGCTTTACTGGGCCTCCGAGCCCGGTGGGGGTTGGGCCCGTGGTCTGGTCCAGACCCCTGGGACCTCTGGGTCAGGGGGATGGCCGGGCGGCGCACCTGCAGACCTGTGCCCAGCCTAGCAGGTGCACAGGGCCGCCAGGCCCTCCCTGCGCCAAGGGACAGACTTCGGGGCCGACACCTCATGTGAGGGGGCAGGGCGTGGCCAGGGCAGGACGCTGAGTCCACCTTCCTAAGTGTCGCTGCGCAGTCCTCCGTGCGTGCGGCTCCTCTCTGGCCCGGGCCAAGTCCACCCTCGCCCGCAGTTGCCAGGCTGTGTGCAGGTGCGGCAGGGCGGGGCCGGCCTTGGGGGACAAGGCAGGGTGGGCGGGGATGGGTGGGGGGATGGGGGCTGCAGGGTGGGGTGGGGAGGGGCGGGGCTGGGGGGGGCTTTGCTAGGAGGGGCGGGGCGGGAGGGAGCTGAACTGCCCTCCACCCCACAGGCCTGGGCATCCCCCAGCTCCTGGAGGCTGTGCTGCAGCTGCTGCCCCTGGACAGCTACGTGGAGAGCCCGGTGAGGCCCGAGACCCCTGCCACCCCCATCGCTCGCTCTGGTCCTCGGGCCTCCCTTGCTTCGGGGCGGGGCAGGGGATACGTGTCCCAGAGGGCCCTGACCTGACCACAGGCAGAGCTGGCTCCCTGCCCCCAGGCTGCTGTCATGGAGCTGGTGCCCACCGACCAGGAGAGGGGCCTCCAGACCCCCGTGTGGGGGAGCTACCGGTCCATCCTCTGCAAGGCGGGCTGTACGGTGAGTCGGAGGCCCTCACTGGGAAGGGGCGAAGGGCCCAGCTGGGGCTCCCCGGTCTGCCCTGAGGCTCAGGTTCTGCCTGGCCAGACCAGCGGGGCCGGCTGGCCGCTGGCAGAGAAGCCCTGCTCCAGGACCGGACCTCTCCCTGCCAGTGGGCCAGGTGCAGCCAGTAGGTGCCAGCCCGTGTGGCTGTGGCCTGAGGTCTGACCGAGGCTGCCGCCAGCCCCACCCCACCAGGGGACCACACGGGCTCCCGTCCTGGGGCTCAGCCCGGCAGGCTCCTGGCCATAGGCCCCTGCTCAGGGGCCAGAGGCTGAGCCCTGGGAGGCCCCCGGGAGCAGAGAAATGACACGTGGAGGGGTCTCCCTGAAGGTGGGGGGACTGGCCGCCACGTCCCTGGCCAGGGCCCCACTGGCCGTTTTGCCTTCCAGAGCCAGCTGGCCAAGATCGAGAGGTTTGCGTTTTACGAACGGGCCAAGAAGGCCTTTGCTGTTGTGGCAACAGGGTGAGTCCCGGCCAGGCCCGGTGTGGGTCCCGCTGGGCTGCTGGGCCCCTCCCCGCTCCGAGGTCCTGCAGGGGAAGGGGGCGCCGAGTCTCGGCAGTGGGGGCGGCAGGTGGGTGGGGCGGGGTTCCTGCCCACACTCACCCCCGCCCTCTGTGCAGGGAGACGGCCCTCTACGGGAACCTCATCCTCAAGAAGGGGGTGCTGGCCCCCGAAGCCCTGTGCTAGGCCTGACGAAGACCCGGGGCGTCAGGTGGAGGGCGGGCTTGCTCCCTGCTCATGAATACAGTGGAAAAGCTCCCGAGGTTCCTGCGGCATCAGCTTGGCCTGTCCACTCGCTGCCCACTTGTCGCCGGGGGCCACCAATGGGGGGCCCTGTTGGGGAGCGCCACAGGTGGAGACCCCTGGCTGGGTGGGGTGGGGGCGTGGGGCTACCAGGTGGCCCTCGGTGGGTTGGGACTTTGGCTTCAGCCCCAAGGCAGAGAGCAGCCGGCTGGCCGGCCTGGCCGCCCTGGGAGGGTCGGAGAGGGTCCTGGGGGGAGGGACCGGCCTAGTCCCTAGTCCCGGGGCTGGCTCAGCACCCCGTGTGCAGGGCAGCAGCCCCGGGGGCCAGGCGCACTGAGCAGCAGGGGTCTCTAAAGTGGGGCTGCCCAGGAAGAGGCGGGACGGGAGCCTCCCAGCTAGGGTCCCGTGCCCCGAGCCAGCATCTGGGCTCAGCTCTGCGTGCGGTGCACCAGGGTGCCTGCTGGGGCTGCCGCACGGGGCACCGGCCGTGGTGCCCTCCCCCCCAGCACCCCCAGCCATCCGCAGCCACTGCACAGCAGGCTGGCCCGGGGACTGGCGGCTGGGGCGCCCAAGCCCACCACTGTCCAGGGGTCCTCGCCCTCGTTGATGTGCACAAGTGGGTGGGAACATGCCCGCGGGAGTTGGGGGTGCAGGGAAAGAACCAGAGAGCTGGGCCTCCCCTACTTCTGGGAGCCAAGCCTGGGCTTCCCGTCAGCCCGTCCCCTGCTGGGGAGGCTGTACACGGGGCGGCAGCCCAAGGCCCGCCACTGCCCACGCAGCTGGCCGCGTGGCCCTGCCCCTGGGGGCTGGTCCTGCGGGGCCAGAGGACCCAGCGCCCCTGGGGCAGCCCAGGCCACCACCTGCCTGTGTCATGGGGCCTGTCCCCACCGCGTCCTTGACCCGACCCAGGGTCTGTGGGGACAGAGTCCCCAGTTGGGTGCAGGGGTGCAAAGAAGCCCTGCATGACCCCAGCATGCACCCCTGTCCTCAGCTCGAGCCAGGTCCCAGGGCACCGCCTTGGGCATCACCAGGCTGCCTGTGCTCCTGCCCAGATCCTGGCCTCCTCCAGGTCCCTCTGCGCCGCCCCCCACCCGCTGCCGCCCCAGGTTTTGCATCCTTGGCGGGGGGGGCGGGGGGGGGGCAGGGCTGTGCCCGGGGCCCCTCCTGCAGACGGCGCCCACCCAGTCACCACTGAGGACACGCGTGCCCCTCACAACAGGGTTTATTGCTCCCCCTGGGAGAACGGGGAGCCCTCGCTCGCGTGGTAGATGTGGTCCCGGTCTTCCTCTGGCCCCTGGAGCACCTGCCGGACCAGCAGCTCCTGAGGCCGGGGGTCCTCCTGCTCCTGGGCCTCGGGGGACGCGGGGTGGTACCGGTGGTCCAGGTCCGGCTCAGGGCCCAGCACGGGGCTCCGGAGGTGGGCCAGGATGTCCTTGGCCTCCTCCAGAGCGCTGGCGCCTAGGGACAGGGCAGAGGGAGATGCGGCCGCGGCACCCCGCCCGCCCGCCCGCCCACGGGGCCGCACCGGGGTGCCACCGACCTTCCTGCCCCGCCTGGCCGGCAGCCAAGAGCCTCAGCCCCGGGAGCAGCTGCAGGAGCGGGCTGTCGTCCTCCGGGAGCAGCAGGCCTGCCGGGTGCGCCTCCCCGCGGGCGCCCCAGGCCCTGCAAACACAGCAGCCCAGGCCCCAGGCTGAGCGGGGTGGAGCCCGGCCCCGCACCAGCCAGGGAAGATGGGACCCGCCCCAGCAGCGCCCCCAAGGGCAGCGGCTGTGCGACCCCTGGACCCCAGGCTCAGGTCCTCAGGCTTCACTGCCGTCCTGCTTCACCCGCGAGGGCACAGTGGCAGGGAGGGGGGCGGAGCCCCTGCTGGGCCCCTGCTGGGCTGGCGGCTCTGCTCCCCCGCATGGGGCCCCCCAGAGCTCCCTCCACCCGGCACCCCCAGCTCAGGGAAGGACAGCAGGGGCGTGGTGACCTCCGGGACACTCACCCCTCCGTGTCCTGCTCAGGGGGCCCGTCCTCTCTGGTCTTGGAGGGCCCCTGCAGAGGGAGGCGGTGCGGGCTCAGCTGGCTGGGGGACAGGGGACCCCACCACGCCTGCAGAGGGCCCGGGGGTGGGGCCACAGTTCGGCTGTGTCTTCCCCTCCCCCCTCCTGGGCCCAGGGAGAGGTGGGCGCAGCCCAGAAAGGAGCCAGATCTACCTGGGGGGCAGCCCTGGACGCCTCCAGCAGCAGCAGGGCCGCCAGGCCGGTCAGCAGGAGGAGCCTGGGGGGGTGGTCAGGTGAGGGGCGCCCCTGCTGCGCCGCTCCCGCAGGGCAAGGGCAGCCCCATGCCAGCAACCCCGCTGGGCCGGCAGAGGGGTGGGGGGACAAGCCGTGTGACCGTGTCGCGTCCCCCCACCCCGGCGGCCTGGAGCGGCCCACACTCTGGACGCCAGCGCCCCCCCGTTTCTCACGGCCCCGTGTGCGGCTGCCCCACAAGGCCGCGGGCGGCCCCTGGGTCCCCCACCAGGCCAGCCTCTCGCTCCGTCCCAGACTGCGGGTGTCCGACGGGGAAGCCCCGAGGAGGCGGGAGGACGGGGCTCTGGCTGGGCGGCTGCCTGAGGCGGCGCCCCTGGGGGAGGGCGGGGGTGGGCGCCCCCGGCCTGGCCAGGAGGAGAGGCGAGGGGGGAGGTGACCGCAGCGCAGCGGCCTCCAGGCCAGGAAAGCGGGAGGGAGGCGGGTGGGCGCCCCGCGGCCTGGAGACTCGTCCTGCAGCCCCGCCCCGCCCTGCCCGGCCCTGCGGCCCTGCGGATTGACTTCTGCTCAAATAAAGTCTCGAAACGTCCATGAGCCTCGGCTACCGCCACGGCGGCCCCTGCCTGAGGCCCGGCCGGGCGAGGGTCCCAGGAGGTGGGGAGCGCCTTTCCCCACAGGGGTCAGCAGGGGCCCAGGAGGCCCCGGCTCCAGCCCCACAAAGACCTTTGCTCCGCTGGGTGACGCAGCACTTCAGAGCGGGGCTCCCCTGCACTCCAGGCAAAGGGCACAGGCGCCCCGGAGCTCAGGGTGCAGGCCTGGTCACGTGCCGCTGGCCGCCTCCCTTGGGCATCAAACCCCAAACCAAGGTCAGCTCTGGGGTGGCGAGGCAGAAGGGGGACCCACCACAGCACCAGTCTGCCCACCACCCCAGGAAGGCCCAGCACCCCCGCCCGCGGGCCCCGGGAGCTGGGAGGGGACCTGGGCACGGGCAGCCTGGCCGGGTCCCCTGCAGCTGTCTCCGGGTTCTGGACATCAAGAGGTTTCCAAGTCACCCGGTGACCCTCCTCTCTAAAAGGGGGGCCCAGCCTCTGGTCCAAGCTCGGGTCCTAGGGAGAAACCCGGGAGAGGAGGGCCGGGGGGCTCTGGCGTGGACAGGAGACACCCCTGTGGGGAAAGATGGGCCCAGCAGGAGCCCATGTTCCTCTGGGCCTCAAGGCCTTTCCAGCACAGACCCTGGGCCCGGCCGCCCTGCCAGCCGCTCGGTGCCCCGCGACCAGGGCAGTCAGACCCGCCTCCTGGGGGCCTCCCAGCCCCGCCTCAGGGGGCCCCTGGGCCCGGGCAGGGATGGGCTCTCTCGCATGGAGGCCCCAGGTGGACGTGGAGGCAGATGCAGGGGAACAGGAGGGAGGCCACCGCCCGAGGCCCCACACTCCGGAGATCGGGGACGGCCGGAGCAGCAGCCGCGGCCAGCCTAAGCCCCCCAGTCTCCGGGACCAGACCTCCCTGGGAGCCTGGCTCGCGGCTGGGCCCGAGCCACGTGGAGTAGAGTCACCCGTCTGGGAGGTGAATCGGGGTTCAGGGGGAATCAGCCCTACCTCCCCATGTTGGGGTCCACGTCTGCACAGCAGGGACTGCAGGGACCCGCAGCCGTGCACCGGGCAGCTGTGCGCAAACGCCGGCCCTGGGGCGTGCCCGGAAGCCGGCTTTATGGCTCCCTGGGCGTGTCAGACAGTGGCCGGGGCAGGGGCCGGCTGCCACCTCGCAGCCTTGCCACGACCTCGGCGCAGGCCTGACTGCTGTGCCGGCCCCTCTGTTCCCTTGGCCAGTGTCCTGCAGGCCCTCAACTCTGTGCCCTGGGGCGTCGGATCCCAAGGCTTGGTGGGCTGGCCGGGGCCCCAGGAGGGGTTTGCGCAAAGCCATGTGCTTGGGCCGACCCTGGAGGACCCCCCAACCCCACGTCCAGGCTCTGGGCCTTGACCCTCAGGGGCAGGTAGCCCCAAGTATCTGCAGCACTGTGGGCCCAGGGGTGCAGCACGGAGCCCAGTGGGTGCCGGCCGTGGGGGCAGCTGGCTCGCCACCTTGTGGTGTCAGGACCCCAAGGCCTCACGTGGAGGCCCCGACACCACCCAGGCCACTGGTGGTGTAAGACACTGAAGGACGCAGCATGGCAAGACAGCAGCCGTTTGAGGAAGACGCCCATTTCGCAGAGCACAGCCGTCCGCTCCGTTGCGGGGTGGCCCACGAGAACCACAAGGCCGGGGTGACCGAAACTTAAAGGCTGCCAAAGAGAGGCCCACGGTCAGACTGAACTTGGGCCCTGTTGTGAAGGGTCCCCTTTTCCCGCCGTTAACAGAGTAGAAAAAACAGCCTGTCACCCCTAGCGGGGTCCCCCTCTCAGCCGGGGGAGGTGCTGTGTCCGCATCAGGCAGAGCCGGGCCCTGGCTTGCGCTGGCCATCAAGCCTTTTTGCTTTTGCATCTCCGGCTCCGCGTAGTTTTTGGGAACCCCGGACAGAGTTGAGGCGCCAACTCCAGCAGTGGCACAGAGTGGGGGGCCTGAGGCCCCGGGCCGGAGAGGCCAGTGGGGGTGTGGGGGGTGCTCTGTGGCCACCAGGGTCTGCTCCTGCCCGCCACGCCCTCTGGAAGCAGCTCGGGTCGCAGGTGAGAGGACCATACGCACGGGGGCCCCTTAGGCACCCTGAGTGGACCCCAGGGGTCTGCCAGCAGCCCCTGGACAGTCCAGATGAGAAACAATGACCCGCGGTTGCCACAGGGACTGACATGTCCAGCGAGCGTCCTCGGCCCAGCCCCTGCGGGGAGACGCGGCGGGGAGCCGCCCAC